TCGCTTTTCAGACCGATGAGCTTTGTAAAAATCGACGCGTTTCAGAAAGGCGGGGCATAGAGGAGAAACAATAATGTACAGTATGTGGAAAATAATGTGTTTTTTGAACCTTAAACCGCATAAACACATTTCATTACACCAAATACACAAAATAATGTTATTTTTAGCAACATCATATGACCCCTTTTAAACCAATCATCTCCTGTTAAAAGGTTTCAAGTCAGTAAGATGTTTTTGTTTTGAAAGAAATTAATACTTTTATTCAGCAAGGATGCATTAAATTGATCAAAAGTGACAGTAAAGACATTTGTAATTTTACAAAAGGTTTCTGTTTCAAATAAACAAAGTTCTTTTGAACTTTCTACAGTATTTGTAAAGAATCCTTAGGATTTTTTTTATCATGGTTTCTACAAAGATATTAAGTACAACTATTTTCAACATTAATAAAGTAAGAAATGTTTCTTGAGCACCAAATCAGCATATTAAAATTATTTCTAAAGGATCAAGTGAGACTGAAGACTGGAGTAATGATGCTGAAAATTCAGCTTTGGCATAACAGGAATAAATTGCATTTTAAATCCTATTAAAATAGAGGACAGTTATTTTAAATTGCAATAATATTTTACAATTCTTAACTGTATTTTGATCAAACAAATGCAGCTTTGGTGACTGTAAGAGACTGTAAAAAAACTTTGAATGGTATTCTAAAACAAGTCGCACTAGTTACCACCTATGTGATTCCTGTGTGTATTTTTGTTTAGTATGCATGACCTACCTTTAGCGGGGTCAGGGAAAATGCCATGACTTCGGCTCTTGATGACAGAAGTTTTAGGGGACTGCTGGTTCCCCGGTTGCCCTCCTTGACCTCCAGAACCTCCTGGCTCTCCAGGGCCTCCCTGACCTCCGAGTCCCCCAGAGCCGTCGGGCCCCTGTGGAGGGTGGGTTCTTCCATGGTGAATACTCTCACTTTGTTCCTTTAGAGGGTGCCAGCGAGGCGTGTTATCCAGCTGAGCTGTGTTTGAGAGATCAATGAGCACCTAAAAAAAAAAAAAGGATTAAAAATGTGTTGGATTTAAATTTACCCATCTGACTTCATAGAAACTTCATAGAAAAAAAACTGTTCTTTGGTGGATAATAATATAAATAGATACTGACAGAAACAAAAACTGACTTAATAACAAATTTCATAACAATAAACCCTGGGAGAGAAGACAAAATGCTAGCTAACATTAAATCACATCTAAGGAATTATGGCAAATGATGTTTATCTCTGCCATCATTGTGTGTGTGTGTGCACGGAATGACACTTTTATCTTATAACACTCACTTCTCCCAGGAAATCATTTGAGGAATATCTGTCATAATCCCACACAGTAACCTCCAGAGTTTTCTTCTTCAGCTGAGCCGAACACACACACACACACACACACACACACACACACATTTTCAATCAGATACAGGAAAAAATACATAATTCATCAAGGCATAAACATCTTTTAACATGAAATCTGTGACTCAGTAAACAGCATAGCAATGACAGCAAAACTGGGTCAACTTTCAGAGTTGCCAAGTTTGGATTGAAAAAATGGGACACATGGGGGATGTGACTGTGATGTAACTTCCCTTGTGTTTTTGACTACTTTAATTACATGTAAAAAGATATGTGCATATTCCTTTGACTATATAGGCTACAACCTTATATATAGCTAGAGTGAGATGAAAGATGAATTGTAATAAAGAGTAAAAAGAGAGAAAAATACAGAGAAAAGCATACACAGGGAGAGTTCCCTTTCATGGGAACTTCGAACTGCGTCCTCTAGGG